ACTTCATTAAGTGTCCTTAAAGAGAGATTTATTAGTGCAAAGTAAATTATTAGATTCATTTGAAATTAAAATATATAATACATTAATTCATCACATACTATTAAAAAAATTTTGTTTTATGGTATACTATTCAAAAATAGCAGGTAGATCAATTTTGCTCAATCCTGGGTAATCTCTTTGAGACCAATAATGCTGCCTAAGATTCTCAAATAATGTATTTGAGGTTAGTGTTTTAAAAAATTTGATCTCCTACATATAAATATATGTGATATCACATAGATATAAATAAATTCCCTAGGGACTCAAATAATTTAATAAGTGCACAAATAAGTACATGAATAAACATATAAATAAAGTAAAATAAATGGCCATTTTTGTTTTCACTGAATTTAGAAGATCCAGCCAGGTATTCTTATACTTGAAGATTTAAAATGTACATTAGCATCAGCACATCAAAGACTCATTGAAGTCATTCAATGTGAATTATGAAATTGCATTTGAGATATGCTGATGTAAGTAGCCACACAAAGGAGGCAATATATTTCTGTCAATATTAAGTAATGATTTTTATTAAAAATCATTAATAATCTAATGCTTAAAAGTGTATTTCCCATAAATAGCTATCAATTATTAATTATTGAATGGCAAAGTACCACCCTGAGGCTATATCTTTTAAAAATCCCTGCACTGGGGAGTAACACTTGACTTATCTGAATTACACCAGAACAGCTTAGAGGCCTCCCATAGATAAGCAACTAAAACAGATTGCAGACCTCCCGCATAAAATAAAATAAAATACCCAGAGTACTGTAAAAAAGTGGAATGCTGTAAGTCTCTGCACTTCTTACTATTTCTGTTTTATTTATACTGTTTATAAAAGTAAATTACTTCTTTGAAGTACTACTCTTCAAGCTGCCTGGTTCTCCATGGGGAGGTACTCCTGTAAATCCTCTTTTATTGGAAATGGTTGATCTTTAGCTCTGGGGATGGTATCTGCAAGGTTAAAAAGCTTTACTTTCTAACAGGAGAGTCAAACTGATTTGAGAATACAGGGAGACTTTCCATTAAGAAGCCAACCTGGTGGAAATTATTTCTTCTAGAACCAATTCCAAATAGTATATGATAGCAGGGGCATTTCTGAAATAGCTGGATAATGCTCTCCTTTATGTTTCAGTTTCCAAGAAAAATTCAAAGAGATTGGTGGCATGGTGGCGAAAGCACTTGTCTGGTGATCAGAGATTCAGTAGCTCCCGTGCAACAGCTGTTCCAAGGGGCAAGTGTGGCTGTCTGCTAACATCAAGAGCACAGCTTTGGAAACCTCGTCTGCTCAGTAAGGTGGTTTTGAGTCAGCATTGTCTCCACGGAAGTTCCACGTAATAATTCAAATGATAAAATTCAAAAAGGAATTTGGAATAATGTTGCCATTAAAGATATATTTTTTTTCCTTTTCTTTTTTTATCACCTTTAGTTTTGGCTGACAAAACAAAAGCACTA